CTCTCTTTCCCCTTCTCCCTCACACCCTGGGGTGCTGTCACCTCTGCTGGGAGCAGTGCAGTCCAGTTGCCACCTGTCTGAACAGTTAAGTCCTGCCGATGCCCAACAAGACAGACCTCCAAACAGAAGGATCACCAAGGGCCAGGTCGAGTGGGTGGCAAGTGAAGCAGATCTGGAGATTTGTCATCCACTCGTGTCCATGGCCCTGACCTTGCTTCCCTTCTGGTGATGCTCACGCTCTGGCAGCTGCCACATGGAGAAGCTGGCATGCAGCTGTAGGCAAGGGTGGAAACTTGGGAGCAAACACTCCCCTGCCTCCCACCCTTGGATAAGGAGAGGAGATAGAAGAGATGGTGGGGACGGATAGAAGATTTGGGAAGGATCCAGGGTGGGGGCAGCTGAGGGTGAGGTCAGGAATCAGGGCTTCTACTGAAGTCCACACCAGCGCATTTGGTGGATGTGTGGTGCTTGTTGTGGAGTGACAGATTGTGGACGGGTTGTGCCTGATGAGTGTGTGTGTGTGTGTGTGTGCGCGCACGCCTGCCTGGTGTACCACGTGTGTGTCCATACCATCTCCCCATGCACCACGTGGCTGGTAGGAGTGATCCTGAAAGTCCCCCAGGCTTTTCTCCTCTTGGAGTGAAACCTTGGAGGGTGATGCTAATTTCCTAATCTTCCAAATTCAAGCAAAAAAAAAAAAAATGCTACTTAACATTGTTCCTGTTTGATTTTAGGCAAATTCAAAACAGGTTCCTTGGCATATTGCCCCTGGGAAAATCAGTCGCACATTGCAGACCCAGAGCCTGGCTGAGCGTGTGGGCGTCCGCAGCTTGCAACGGTTCCTCTCCTGGCTTCCCCGCTTTGCTATGGTGCTTGTGAGAAACTGCTGTGCAACATTTGACTTTGGTAAAGTCCTTGACGCCATCAATCTGCTAAATTAGCCTACTTTAATCACCTCCCGGATCAACGTGCAGCCAGACCTTGCCTGTGGTGCGCCATGAGGGCAGAGAGCTGTTCTGGCCAGGGCCACCTGGTCCCCAGGGCCACTATTGCTTGCAGGACTCCCTGTGACAGGAAGGCTTTTCCCAGGAGCTGCATTGGGCTCCTGACCCTGTGCATACCGTGGGTTCTTCTGTCTGTTGCCATCTAAAAACCCCCTGGAATCTTGTCCACTGCCTAGGGGAACTGTACCATGCAGCACACAGTGGTTCTGTCCGCTGCAGGAAGCAGAGGCTCCTACGTATCACCCAGGCTTGGTTGTGCCCACAGACAAGCACCCAGGGGACTGCCACTTTGGAAAAGCCTGGGCAGGTCATGCTGGGTTCTTCCTGCAGTGGGGTTTAGCAAGGACCTTCAGGGCAACCCGGGTCACTTGTCAAACCAGCCCTGCGGGACCCTGGGCCCTCAGCCTCTGGAGACACTGCTGGTGGCCATGCAGTCTTCTCAGGCCGCTGGAGAGCTGGCCAGCAGGACTGCCCCAGAGCGAGCCTCCTTACCACGCCGAGTCAGGCTGTTTGGCCAAACCACAGAAAAAGCTGGCGCTCTGGCCTGGGCTCTATGGGGTTTTCACTTTCTGTGTCTTTCCCATTGGTTCATTGCTCTGCCACTCTGTTCTGTAAGGAGACCTCTGGGGTGCATGTTGCGTCATCTTGCCGCGTGCGTGTGTACTTCTCCCCAAGGAGGGTGCACTCGGAGACCGTTTACCACACGAGTGAGGCCAGAGCAAGCAAGGGACGCCCTTGAACGCAGAGGGCCGTCCCAGACTTTCCCAAAGGAACAGGCTTTCCTCCAGAGGAGGAGCTGTTTCAGTTGGTTCTGGCTGTGCTCTTAGAACTCGGCACTTGCTCAGGTTGCTTTGACGACCTCTAAGTTCTGCAGATACTGAAGGTGAGGGGAGTGGGGTGGTGATGGGGGTGGGCTGGGGGAGCCTGAGTCAGGGTTGGTTCCTGTCCTTGCTGAGCCCCATGTGGGGTAAGTTGCCCAAGCTTAGCAACCCTCAGTTTCCTCATCTGTGAAGTGGGAGGAAGAGGCCTGTCCTGCATAGCATTGCTGTGATGTGTTGACTGCAGTTTTGGCAGCAGGGTGGTGTGCCCTGTTGCTGCTGTAGTGTTGTTGATTAAAGTGATGGTTGCTGAACAGGTGCACGTGGCTCCTACTGCTGTGGAACGTGTGTAGGTTGGGGTGGTACTAAGCGAATAAGCCAACAAGGAGATTTCAGGTGGTGATGGAGCAGTGAGGCCAATGATGTGCTTATAAATGCTTAACGTCCAGTGTGGAGCAGCTGCATTCATAGTGTTTGTCAATTTCTGTGGCATCAATATTCCCACCAGGGCTGGAAATGTACATACCAGAGTGACCCAAGTGTCCACTGGCTCATAAAATGCCTATAGGTCTAGCCACTGGGTCTTGCAAAGGCTGAGCGGCAGGTGCAAGGTACAGCACTCCAGGCCTGTAAATCACAAAACAGTGGACACTCTGAGAAGTGAATGTCCTGGGGCCAGAGGTTTGTAGACAGGATGGAAAGACCCTGAGGTCAGAAAGGGACTGGTGTGTTCTGGGAATGGGAGGGAGAAGAGAGGCTGGGCTTCTGGACCACAGCAATCAGTTCAGATCTTATTCTAAGGCTCCAGGAAGTCTTTGGAGGGTTGTAAGCAGGGGAGTGTCCGGATCTGATTTGCATCTTTGAGCAATCTCTGAGCTGCTCTGTGGAAGACCAGGCAGGTGGGTGGGCACCGCAGTGAGAGGTGATGCTATCTCAGAGTTGGAGGTCCAGGGGGACCTGTGGGGATGTGGCCAATTGATGGGGTGTTACCGTGGAGAAGGAAGCAGCTCTGGTGTGGGCTCAGTCTCCCCCGCCTGCTCTGTGCTCCACAAGCCCGTGTTTACCACCTCCTGACACACCCTGGAGAGGAGAGGAGGAAATACACTTATCTCAGGTCCCAATGTAAAACAGAAGCACCAACAAGAAAATCTCTTTCTCCTTTTGGTTCTTGTCACTGCAAGCAGTACCAGTTCTTCTGTCTCTGACTGTCTCCTGGGTGTGTATCAGAAACTTGGGCGAATGTTGTGGGTGTCAGCCTGGTGATGAAATGCTGTTGCCGGCTCCACCCCCAGCCTGGCCCTTTTTAGAAGGGGAGAGAAGGTTCCATCTTTCTAGAGTAGTACTGGCCTGACCATGCATGTGTTCTGTATTGGTGTAGCCCTTAGCTAATGCAAGGGAGAAACTGCGTTTTCCATTTCCCGTGACTTTTGATATGTGTCTTGGCTCCCGCATCAGACAGTGCCATTCCAGACCCAGTGTGGCAGAGCCTGCTGAGGTCATGCTTCAGAGATGGGGACATCTTGGTGAGTTCTCACTGCTCACGGCTTCCCTCCACCTGCAGAGAGAGGAATGGAGGCACAGAAGTACTGGGGTGTGTGAGGATGACTTGCTGGGAGTTGCCAATGGACAAGACAGGAACCAATCATCAAATCTCGGCAAAATCTTTTTTCTTTTGTTACTATATAAATGAGTGCTCTTATTTTTTAAGTTAAAAAAATTAATTTGGAAGGTATGGCGATGGGGAGAGACACAGAGACATACGTGCTTTTTTCTGTCCTCTGGTTCACTCTCCCAATGTTGTAACAGCCAGGGCTGGGTCAGGCTGAAGCCAGGAGCCTGGAGTTCCATCTGGGTCTCCCATGAGGGTGGCAGGGACCCATGTCCTTGAGCCATTGTCTGCTGCCTCTGAGTTGCTCTAGTAGGAAGCTGGACTGGGAGCAGAGGTGGAACTTGATCCCAGGCACTTTCGGTACCTCAAGCAGTGGTACCCTAAGTTCCCAAGAAGCCCTGTGTTCTGTAACATAATTTGCAAAGCTGCTGTCCTCTTTGACTTCCAAACCGCCCCTGCCCCTCCAGCCCCAGGCTCCTTCTGGAGCTCCCCCTTCGTACAGAGATGATTGTACAGGGGTCAGTTTGGAGTGCCTCCTCCCATAGCTTCTGCTATTACATCCACTTGTGCGTGAGTAGATGGATGGAAAGCACTCTGCCTTGTTTCATGTGCTGTGTCTCGTCCATCGTTTCCCACACTGCTTTCTCTTTCAGCAGTGGGTCCTAGGGCTCTCTGGTCGGCCCTCTATTATGTTGTATGCCTGTTTTACTGGTGTCTCCTAGCTGTTCAAATTTGCCTTTGTCGACAGTTCAAACTCAACATCTTTTCTCTGGCACTGATCTTTCATTTTTATTTGAATTTCCTGTTCAAATATGTTGCCCATGTTCCTGTTGGATAGCTTTATTCATTTATTGAGCCAATGCTATCCCCGAGCGCCTACCACATGGCAGGTGTTACTGTAGGTGCTAGACGCTGTGACATGTGAAACAGACACGAGTTCCTGTCTTGACTGCTGAGTTGTAGGGGAGTCAGGTGGAAGGAAGTCAAGTGCATCAGTTTGGCCTGGAGGAGGAGCCCCTGGGAGGAAGCCTTGGTTCTGAATGGGGTGGCCACGGTCTTGCATCTTTCCTTTATTCCCCTGGAGACGTGCCTTCCTCTGCTTGCGTTCATCTTGGTCCTGTTGAGATGTTGCCCGCATTTTCTTCCAGTCTTCAATTGCCCCATGACTCAGATGATGGTGGTGTTGTTGCTCTTTGATTTCTTAGATTTTAAAGTCAAGCTTTCCTTAACTGGGTTGCAGTTCTGTAAGAAGCAGAACCTCTTACTTCCTGTCTTTCTGGGCAGCTGCTGCCAAGAGCTCTGAGGGTACACTTTCGGCTTGCTTCGTGTCCCCAGAGTTCTGGCTGTTTTCCCATTAGCACATTCTTTCCCATGGCCGCTTGATAATCCATTTGAGCACGGATCCCGGTGGCTTATCCAAGCAGTCCTCCTTGGCTGGACATCACGGGTACTTCCAGCCCGGGTGGCAGTCACTGCCCTCGCTGCTGCCTGTGAGCTTCTTGGCTCTGTGTATCTGCTGGACTAGAGCCACACGCCCAGCATGTGAACAGTTCTGTTTTCTCCCCTTAGCTCCACGGCTACATGGAAAACAAGCCCCTGGGGCTGCAGATCTTCATCGGGACAGCCGATGAGCGCATCCTGAAGCCGCACGCCTTCTACCAGGTGCACCGGATCACAGGCAAGACCGTCACGACCACCAGCTACGAGAAGATCGTGGGCAACACCAAAGTCCTGGAAATCCCCTTGGAGCCAAAGAACAACATGAGGGCAACGTAAGGGCTGAGCGCGGCGGGCAGGGAAAGCACAGCCCGCTCCCAACTAGTAAATGCCCCTTGGGATCTCTGTTCTAGAAGTTTCTATTTGGAAGGTTTTTTTTTTTTTTTAATAGAATATTTGAAAGGCAGGGTTGCAGAAACACAGATCTTCCATCTGTCAGTTCACTCCCCAGATGGCTACAATGGCTGGAGCTGTGCTAGTGGAAACCAGGAAACCAGGAACCTGGAGCTTCTTCCAGGTTTCCCACTCGGATGGCAGGAGCACAAGCACTTTTGCCGTTTTCTGCTGCTTTCCCCAGGCAGGAAGCTGGATCAGAAGTAGAGCAGCCAGGATTCCTGCAGGCACCCTCATGGGATGCTGGCTTTCTAGGCAAAGGGTTTACTGGCTGTACCTTTGGCAAAGGTTATGCCGCTGCGCTGGCCCCTATTTGCAAAGTTTTATATGCAGATAATCGCATGCATCTGAAAAGGAAAAGCACTCAAAAATTGTTGAGTTTTGTTGCTTTGAATTTTGTTGCATTAAAAAAAAACTCTGGTTAACATTTAGGAAATAATGCACACATGTCTTGGGATTGAAAAAGCCTTTTTATGAGAAAATAAAACTACAAGATAATAAGAGAATGCAGAGACCTGCTGAGCCCCGTGCACACGGGATTGCCATGTGCTCCAGCCCTCACCTTTGCTTCCTCCCTCTCCTGCTGGACCTTCTTGGTTTTGTTCCTGAGCCCCCGTGGTGACCCAGCAAGAGCCCTCAGAGCCACTTTGCTTTTAAACCCTGCAGCAAATGCATCCTGCCACGTGGCTTCTGAGCCAGCCTGTACCCCTCCCCAGCCAGGAGACTTCCTGTTGATTCACTGCCCTTCCCGGGGAGCACCCTTGGGGGATTTTCAGGTGTGAAGGCAGCACTGTCTTGAGAGTAGGATTGTTGAGGACATGACAAGTCTCCTAAAAGGGGAGACTTGGAAAGCATTGCTCCTCCCCCCTGGTGCACTGAGATGCCCCCAGAGCTGCCAGCAGCCCAAAGCGGGTCTGTGGCGGACTTACCCAGCTCGCTGAGGAGGCTCTCTTAGACACGGGGTTGTCGTCTCGCTGCAGCATCGACTGTGCGGGGATCCTGAAGCTCCGGAATGCAGACATCGAGCTACGCAAAGGCGAGACGGACATCGGCAGGAAGAACACGCGGGTGAGGCTGGTGTTCCGAGTGCACATCCCCGAGGCGAGCGGCAGGATCGTGTCCTTGCAGACTGCGTCCAACCCCATTGAGTGCTGTAAGTCAGGCTGCGGGCTGGGCTCCGCCTGTGCACAGCATCCCCGTGTGGGCTTTCACACTGAGCAGGGCAAGGGACTCGGGGTGCCTGGCAAGTGTGTGCAGGGCCCCAGGGGTAGAGTTGGCCCGAGGGTCAGTTTGAGGAGGGATCTTTGCTAATGTGGAGGATCTTGTGGCCCTTCAGGGAATTGGGAAAAAGCAGATCCTACAGCTAATGTGTAGCCTGCAGCTCTGTTTAGATTTGAGATGCACAAATCAGGTTCTCCTGTTAGGGTGTGTTTATTCTACCTTGGGCCCCCTTTGTCTTCTCCTTTTCTCCTCCATCAGTAAGAAGGGCGGTGGTCCCCCAGTGGTTCTGGTTTGTTGAGCTTTGGAGCCTGCCAGTTGCTAAGCTGAGTGTTCCGGATGTAGTATTAGCCTGGGAGTATTCACGGCAGCTCCCAGCACTGCTGTTGTCACAGTGCCCGTTTGACAGACATGAAGGTCGTCGATGCGAGAAGTGGAGTGAGTGGTACCCACAGCTGCAAGCGACAGGGCAGGGCTTCCAGTGATCCACGCCCCGCCTTCAGTGCACACACCTGCAGGTTTACCAAGCTCAGGCATCAGGGGCTGTGCTGACTCAGCTGGCCACCTGCGGGGGCGTGGACCATTTTCTCTGTGCTCGCCGAGGTTACCATCTGAGAAGAAAGACCCCCGAGGTTGCAGAGGGCTCTTAGGGCCCATGGGGAAGCAGCCGCGATAGGCCCTTGGGAGAGGTCCTGCGAGAAGCCTGGCTGGGTCCCAGCAGGTTTGAGAAGCAGCTGAGCTGTGCTCCTGCCTCCGCACTCCTGAGTCAGTTTGCTGTGAGTGGCTGTAATGAGACATGAGGAGGCTAACTGCCCAGGGCCTGAGAGTGTAGACGTAGGAAGCATCGAGAAGCGAGGATCCAGAAACAAAAACCATATGGTCTTTGGGGAGGAGTCTCTCTTTTATCTCTGGATGCTTTGTGTGGGTACCATGTTCCAGGGTAAATGATGTTTCAGTGTTTTTTGTTTGTTTTGTTGTTGTTTTTCAGTGGACATTTTGCTGTAACTGTTACCTTCCTGAGGCCAGGGGGTGATGGGAAGGAGAGAAGTGGGTGGTCTGACTGGTATCGAAGGATGCAGTTTGAGGATGAGGAGGGCTCATTCCCCACCTGCATTAGTTGCTGTGACTCTGCTCCAATCAGTATTTCCATGTGGGAATATAGACCTGGTGTGGCCAACTCTGCTGACTTTTAAGGATGCACTAGGAATTTACAAATAAGTGTAACTGAAGAAAAGCATGGGGAGGGAGCAGGGCTGGCCCATGCAGGAGGTTCGGCTGAGGCACCTGCAGGCAAGGGGGCTCTCCCTTCTTTGAGTTGGGTTACAGTTGATTGGTCTTTGGAAATAAGCCAAAGGTCTGACTCATTCCAGCGTGTGTGTGTGTGAGAGAGAGAGAGAGAGAGAGAGCGCGAGCGAGCGAGTGTGCGCGCTTCTGTGACCTTCCTGCTGCTGTTCCCCCTAAATGGCCCAGGCTGGGTCCTTTATGCCTAGAGGAGCCACTGAGCCCACAGTTTTGGATTCCAGAAGCCTAAGATTTGTCAGCCCCATTTGTTCAGCCTCTGCTGGGGGCCCAGGGCTGCATCCAGCAGAAGTCAGTGGGGGCAGGAGAGGAAGCCACATCTGGGTGTCAGGCTGGCTCTGTCTTGGCCGACTGACTCTGTCACAGCACCAGCCTGAATCCAGCCCCAGGTGGATGGCTGCGTGCACTAACCCCACCTCTTCAAGGTTCTGCCACCCCTGGGGACCACGCCTCCTGCACTTGAACCTTTGTAGGGTGCTCTAGCACCATGCCTAGGTAGCTGGCAGCAGAGAGAAGGGCCCAGTGGGCACAGCGGATCACAGCACCTCATAGTTGCTGGAATTCCCCTGCCCCTGCTCAGCTGCAGCTTGGCGGGCATCACAGTTTCCCCGCGTGCTGGCCTTGGCCACTGGTCCAGCCGCCCTGCTTTGGCTTAGTGCTTCATGCTGTCCTTGGAGGAGAGCTCAGCTCTTCCTCAGTGATCTTGACGGTGGGGTCTTGAGCAGATCTGGCACTGCCCCCCCTTTTGGCCAGTGACTCATTCCCTAGGCTGGGGCCCTGCTTTGGATCGGGTAGGGAAGAGGGGGCCCTGGTGGAGTCCATGTCCTTTCTCTTGGGATTCCCTGTGTTGTCTTCGCTGATCCATAGGCCTCCTGCTAGCTCTGAGGGGGCATTGCGAAGCTGTTTGAATGTGGGAAATCGTGTTTCCTTTAGAAAGCTTTGGGACGATTCCCCCTCCCCTACCTTGTCTGACAGAAAAGGCAACTGAGGCTTTCTGGATGAAATGATTTACCGGCTTGTGCTCGGTGGGAAGGGGGCTGGAGGCTGCAGCTTTCCGCTTCCAGGCAACCCTGAGGTTTCTGCTGCACCACCTGCCTTGGGCTGGCAGGCTAAGCTGCCACCTTCCCTCCCAGCCGACCCTGCTGCTGTTTCCACATTCCTCCTTGCTTCTTTTCCTAGATCAGTGTCTAGTGGCTGCACAGTATTTTTACAAAGATCGACATTTCCTTGAAAAGCAGAGTGAAAAAGAGATTTTCCACCTGCTGATTCGCTCCCCTGATGGCTGTAACAGCCAGGGATGGGCCAGGCTGGAGCCAGCAGCTTCTTCTGTGTCTCTAAGTGGTAGCAGGGATCCAAACACTTGGGTCGTCCTTCCGCTGCTTTTCCCAGGCACAGTTGCAGGGAGCTGGATCAGAAGTGGAGCTGGTGTCTATATGGGATGCCGGCTTGCAGGTGGCAGCTTTACCCACTGTGCCAAGATGCCTGCCTCCTTCACAAATATTTATTGACTCCTTAGCTTACTGTGTAAGCTGCACTGAGATGACCGGTAAATATTTATTGGTGCTTCATCAACTCCATGCATTGACACAGGATTGTAACATAAATATTTATTGCTGAATTGCCAGAGTGGGTAAGGAGAAGCTGAACGAGTTGGTTCCTTCCCCCTGCTGCCTTGCTCACCGTGGAGCTCCTCGTCCTGGGAATCCAGGGCAGATTGAAGATGATGGTTGGAAAAGCCTCGTGTCTGTCCACGCCGGCTGTTCAGGCTCCAGGCTCACAGGCACCCAGGGGCTGGGTCCCCACATGGCTCCCACCCTGGGTCTACTGCCCAGGAGGCCCTGTTCTCCGCTCTTCCCTCCCTTGGTCCCAGTGAGGGTGGGTGCAGTTGTCACCCTCCAAGTGCCACCTGCACCCCTTCCAATCCTGACAGAGATTGGGGAACAGGGCAGAGATCCCGAGGCGGCAGGCCCACCTTCCCAGCACGGCTTGAGGCAGCCACTGGCGGCCTAGCTCTGCCTGTCCACTTATTCCTCCAGCGCAGCTCCTGCGTGGCCTTGTCACCTGCTCCAGCTGGGTGCTCAGATGCTCGGCCCGGGCTTTCTCACAACTCTGGCCTTCCACGCCAGCTCCTGCTCGCCTGTGTGCTCTGAATTGCCAACTACAAAAGGGTGCTGGTGATGAAAGCGGAGAGTGGGGCTATAGTGTCCTGGAACCACAGGTCCCCTGTGGTGACTCTGAGGGTACAGCTGTCCTGTCCTCTCTGTGGCATCTCTTCCTGTAGCTGCCTTCTCAGTCTGTGTGTCCTTTGCTGTCCCACATGCTCGCTCATTTAGGGCCCCCCTCCCATTCAAGAGGCCTCCCTTTCTATCTGTGATGGCAGCCCCCTCTGAGGTCAGGTGGGCGAGGGGGCCAGCAGCCCCTCCACCTACTTGCTCCACGCTGCTACTGGCTGCCCTGGCTGCCCGCGCCTTAGGTCCTCACTGTCCCCTCCACCCAGGCCACAGGCCGTTTATGTGGCTGCGTGGTGGGGTAGAAAGACATGGGGACTTGGCTGAGAAACACTGTTGCCTGGGACCCACTCCTGATAGGAGCCTCAGGTGGGGTTTGACTCACCTGTGGCCTGGGCACTTTGCAGAGGTCCCCTGTGACAGATGTGGGGTCCTCTCCTCCTCCAACCTCCCATTGCTGCTGACTGTGCTTGCCCAAGACGCCAGTGGGTGAATCCTCCAACCTGAGGGAGATCTCGGTTCTCAAAGGGCTGGGCTGGTTGGTGTTTGCCAGGGCCTGGCTCATAGGGAAATATGCATGAGAGAAGGAAGCGGGCATGTCCTTGCCATCAGGCGTGCAGGAGAAGGCAGCAATGAGGCAGAGAAGGTTCTTATCCTTGAAGAGCTTTCCAGAATTTGAGACTTGCTGCAGCTTCGCCCGAGGCCTGTGGTTTTGTCCTGCCCTGCAGCTGTCCTCACTGTGCCCAGCAGCCCAGAAACTGCCTTGGGCTATGGTCACGCCCCGCCCTGTCCCACGGAACACAGGATGCAAAATCCATTTCACTCCATTTGCAGGGGTGTGGGGTGAATATGGAGGGTGGGCTGGAAAATGGCTTTTCTCACCTGCTCTCTGTCCCCGCCCTGCATGTTTTCACTGAAATGTAACGAGGATACAGCAGACTGCAGGTTGTCAGTGTGTGGTTCAGCGAGTTTGGACAATCGCGTGTCCACACCATAGGTTCCCTCTTGCACCTGCTGCCTGTCCCTCACACAGAGGCAGCCATTGTCCTGATTGCGATCGCCATTGATAGCCCTTGGACGTGGCGGGACGGAGTTGTACACTGTACTCTGTGGGGTCAGCCCGTTGTTTGTGACAGCTGTTCTTGCGGCTGTGTGACTCAACTGCTACTTAGCACTGGACTAGCTGGTGTTGTCCCGTGTGGCTGCGGCACGCAGCTTTGATTTTGCTTGGGTCAGCAGTCCAGCAGTGGCCTTGTGGAGTCACAGGTGCGTGTGTGCTGCTGTTGGGGCACACTCAGTCATTTTGAGTCTGACCAGAATGTGGGCAGGTGTTGTCCTATCACTTGGCACTTGAAGTTAACCTTCTAAGCACTTGGCCTGCCAGCTCTAACAGTGAGCCCAAGATGGTGTCTCCTGTGACTTTGAGCCCGCCTCAGTGTCTGTAGGCTGCATGTTTTCCACAGCGAGGGGTCTGTTCTTGACTTTGGGAGCTGTAGTGGTCCCTCACTCGGACTCACTGCAGGGCCCAGGGCCTGCTGACAGGGGAGTATCTCTCCCAGCTGCAGTTTGCTGAGTGATGCCTTTTGTGAGTATCCGAGTCTGGCACTCTGCAGGCTGATCCATTGGGGGTTCATCTTTGGGGTTGGTGTCTGTCTGCAGCTCCTGGCTGTGATGGTCCTCAGGCCTGAGACTCTGCAGGGGGAGGTGAGGCAGGCCGAGAGCCACTGGTGCCCCTTGGAGAGCCAGCTCTGCCATGTGCCTCCTCCTAATGTTAGATCTCTTCCCCCTCTGCCCCCTCTCCCCTGCTTCCCCGTCCCAGGGTGGCTTGGGAGGGAGGTGTGGCTGTGCACTGTTGCTGTGAGAACGCCCTAATCTGCAGGGAGAACTGGGGATGCGCTGGCCGTGTGGCTCGCATGTGCTTCTCTGCACGTGCTCTGTCACGTGCCAAGACCCTTTCCATCCCCCTCGGGTTTCTCTCGTGCGCAGCAGCACCTGTCGTTCATGCTGGTCAGGACGGGTCCCTCTGCAGAGACAGCAGTTCAACCTGCACCCAAGTGGTTGGTCTTGTGGGCCAAGAGCCAGTGCATCATGTGCAAAGAGGGCAGAGACCAGCTTGGGGCCTTCAAGGGGCAGAAGGTAGCTGGAGGAGACTGTGCAACAAGGCGGGCAAAGGGGATTTGCAGACCACACTGGGGACTTCGGGTTTGACCCCAAGTAAATAGGGGAAGCTCTTGGTTCCAGGAAGGAGGCTGGCCTAGTGGAATTTGTTATTTAAAACTCCCTTAGTGCAGCAGCTAGCACAGGGCAGGGGCTGCTAAGCATGCAAAGCCTGGGTAATGGAAGAAGGGAAGTGAGAAGGACAGGACGCAGGTGAAGGGTCGTTCAAGTGCGAGTGGCCGGAGACAAGAGTCACAGTGGGTATGGCCTGATCTGCCTTTTCACCAAGGCCCTGTACTTCTGGATGGGAATTCCTGTATGGTTGGAAGCCCACCCATGAGGTCTGGTGCTGTGACTCAGACCACATAGCAGGAAGGTGTGAAAACCATGGTTTCCTCACCCCCCAGCCCAGGCTGCCCTTCGAGGTGTCCTCCACGGCTTCCCACCACCCTCGTACACACGTGACAGTCAGCTGAGATTTATGAAAAGCAACCCATGCTGATGGCCCCGTGCACAGACCACTGCACTCACAGCCCCCATAGCCACCTTCCCATCTGTGGATGGATGGACAGACAGCCCCATCTCCAGAGGGCCTTAAGTGTTGTGGCCACAGCTGGGCACTGTCCCCTGCTTAGTGGAACCCTCCCTCCCCAAAGTGACACAGGACAGTGCCTGCTGCATGGGGTCTGTGGTGGTCAGGCCAATATCTCCTCCCTGGCTTCAGGGCATGGGGCTCTGCTCTGTTCAAGCTCCTCCCAGCTTCCCAGGTGGTTGGCTGGCCATTAGGATGGGCTGGACTGGGCTGGGCCTCGGACTGTGCATTCCTGACCAGCTCCTCTCTGGTCCATGCACAAAGAGCAGGGTTGGAGAAAGGCCAGCAGGAATCTGACCGTGGCCTTGGTGTCACTGGTCTCGGTGTCTTTAAACTTTCATGGTCAACAGGTTGCCCTTCGAGTGAGGTGCAGGCAGTGCCAGGCTGACCAGGGCTGACTCCCAGGTTTGCAAAGGAGCCCAACGCAACGAGTGGTGATTCACAGAGCAGCCGCCCGACCTGTGCTGGGAACTCACGGCTGGTCCCCGGCCCTGCTGACTACAAGCCCTTGCCTGGCTTGCTCCAGAGCGATGACTCAAGCTTTCCACCTATAAAGTGGGAGGCCTGGCTCTTGCTGCCTCCGTACCCACTTAGGACCACCAGCCCAATGGCTGTAGCTTCATCAAAGGCTGATCAGAAAAGCTTAAATCTGCAGCTGCTTTTTTCACTGCTAATAAATTTCCATTTGTGACAATGCTGCCAGGATGTCATCCCAAACTCTAATCCTGCCCGCCGACCCATGTTGGCGCCATCAGCTGCTGCTGCAGGCAGCTTTGTCAGTATGGACTTGGATGGCATGGTTGGACGGCTCTTTGTGGCCGGAGAGCGCTGGGGGAGGGGACTGTTTGGTGGCAGTGTGCTGGTGAAGGGTCTTGTGACCTCTGACTGGTGCACAGCAAACTCCTGAAGTGTCGCCACACGCATCGCTGCTTTGTCAACGTGGCTGCAACACTCCAAGGCAGCTGCAGAAGCTGCTGAGGCCACCCCGATCCTAGGCAGGCCCGAAGTGAAGGGATAGGACAGGGCCTCCCGTGGCCTGCTGCCTCAGCTCCTGGATAGGGGGGCCCTAGGCCCCTGGCGTGAAGGGAGCTGGCCAGCAGCCCGGTTTTCTGGGAGGTGAGCCAAAGAGCTCAGACTGACTCACCCTGGGCAGCCCAGACTCCCGGCCACGCCTCCCCAGAGGTGGGGCCCAAGGAAGCGGGGCTGGGGCCTGTGCCACACCTGCCCCCTCTGGGAAGGCTCCTGGAGAGGCAGGGTCTCCTGTTTCCTGAGGGCTGCTTGACCCTCACTGCATGCCCTTGGCCTAGTGGTAGTCAGATTTGTCTTGTTTTGGTTTTCTCTCAAGTGTGATTTTAACACTTCCTTCCTGTGAAGGGTGCTGTGAGCATTCTGCCCTGCCCTTACGTCTCATCTGTTATAGATCCAGATGAGGAGATTGAGCGCCTGTTGACAGCTGGATCTTCAGGGCCCATGCTCCCCACCCTCCCACTCTGGTTCACTCCTAGGCACTGATGCCCAGCAGGAGGCCTACAGCAGGCAGTGCACAAAGCAGGCCCTTCCTGATGGGGCTCCCCTTTGAGTGCGTGTGGTAGGAAGGATGACAGAAGAGAAACCAGTGCAGACACGACAGCAACTGGGGAGACAGGGAGCTGGTCCCATCGTTGTCTCTGTGCATGGGAGGTGGAGGGGCTGGCAGTAAGGAAGTGAGAGCCGTGTGGGTAGCTGGGAGAAGAAACTCAGAAGTACAGGCCCTCCGGGGGTGGAGAGTACTAAGTGTTTCAGAGACAAGGGGATTCTTCCAGAAGTGAGTTTTAGAAATGAGCCTAGGGACGTGGCCACTGTGGCTGTCCTAAAGACCATGATCATGTTGCAGGTGTGTGCAGACGCGTCTAGGAGCAGGTCTTAAGGTTAGTAGGCATGGTGCCTCCGTGTTTTGGCTGACACAAGTGTGCAGACAGACTTACAGGAAGTATTACAGAGCTGCCAATCTCTCTCTGTAAAAACAAGTCCCCTGTAATGGGAATCGGCACTTGTTCCTTGATGGATGAAAATAAGATGTGTTATTAAAAGGAGCCCGCATTCCTGGGGGTGCTCTGATGGGAACGCAGTGCATTTCCTTGGGGTGGTGGCTCCTCAGCTGCCATGGCAGCAGGTGGTATGGGCAAAGCCAGATGGCCTCTTTATCCCAGCACCTTACTCTCTTGCCCTCAGCCCAGCGATCTGCCCACGAATTGCCCATGGTGGAGAGACAGGACATTGACAGCTGCCTGGTATACGGCGGCCAGCAGATGATCCTCACCGGACAGAACTTCACTGCCGAGTCTAAAGTTGTGTTCACCGAGAAGACCACAGGTCAGTAGCTCTCTGCTCGTCCTCTGGATTTGTACCAAGTGACCACGTGTTTCTTGTCCCCAGCAGTAGATCCCAGTGTGTGGAGTTTTATACCCAGATCTTTTGGTTCATTCTTTTTTCGGTAATGACTGTGGCCACACAGTTGACCATTGTATAAACAGTGTCTTAACTGACTGGGAGGGTCTCCGGGAGCTGGGTCAAACTGCCCCTGATGGAGAACCTCTAGTCTGCAGGCTAGAGATGCCAGGACGGGGGGCAGGACAGCATGGGAGTGTGAGATCATCCTAAGCCTTTTCTCTGCTCAGGCACAGGCGGCTCTCCCTGGTGGAGTGGAGAGAAGATCAGTTCTCTTCATTTTGTGCCTTCCTACTGTGAGAGTTAAGCCAGCTGCTACGGGCCCTACGCACCCCTGGCTTTGAGTCTTATTTGGTGAATAGTAACGTGTCACAAGCATCTATCCACGTTTTGCATATTCTTTGAGAGCCTGACTTTGAAGACATGCATTGCATTCCATTCTGTGGGTTTGCGGTGCGTTATGTAGCCATGCCCTGTTTATTGGATACTAGGCTGCTCCCAGCCACTCGGGGATGAGCAACCTCTGTGTTCCTTTGGTCAAATGGGTAAGAACTCAGGCGTTCAAGTCAGGCTGCTTGTGTTTGAAACCTAACGCAACTGCTTGCTAAGCGTGGGACCTTGGGCAGGTCCCCTTGCTGGACAGTGGTCGCCTTGCCTGCAGAACCAAGATGACAGCAGTGTTGATTCATGGGCGGCTGTGAGGCCCGCTGCTCGGTAAGCCTTGGTGAATCCCCTTCATCTTTGCGGTTGCCCAGAGCTCAGGCTGTGCGTGGTGCAGTGGATTCAAGGCTATGGACTGTTTTAAACGGACTGAGAAAACAAGAGGGCTGTTTTCTCAGAACAGTGTGTGCTAGAAACTTGCTAGACTCTGAGAGGCAGAGGCAGATTGACAAGGTTGGTCAACACCAGGAAATGCCTTTGGATGGGCAGCCGGGTCTGGAGGGGCTCCTGGTGCCAGGTACTGATGTGGCTTTGGTTTGGTCTGGGCAGGGGTAGAGTCACGAGAATCACATGGTGTTGCTGAGCAGGAGGGAGGTGTGGAAGAGCAGTGGCCCAGTTGACACAGCCTCTCCAACTTTGCTGTGTCTGCAAACCAGGAAACCACACGCTGGCCACCTGCTGGCGTTCCCACAAACGTACAGGAGCACCTTGCTGGGCAAGGGCGGTGCTCACAAGGGCCATCTTGCTGCTCTGGCCAGCTGGAGGGAGCCTTGCAGAGAAGGGCCTGAGCCGGGCCCTGCCACCTTCTCCGGGGTGCCAGGAGCCAGCCAGCCGCCGAGTATCCTGGATACTCCTCCAGAGACTTCAGTTACGCACTTGCGGGATGAGTGGCTGGATGAACAGGTGATGCACACGTGAATGAAGGAATGCCATATACTTCCATTCTTCCCGGAATGTTCCCCGTGCCCCTCGTGAAGTAGAGAAGAGGCAGAGCTGGCTGCAGCTCCAGAGAACTGGGTGCCGATGGCTAGAGGCACAGGGCCCGCTCCTTCATGACCCAGCCCTGTCTGCAGGTGGACTCCTTGCATTCTCATCTACCCTGGCCCCCACACGAGGTGGACAATGAAGTCTTCGTGGAAGGCTCAGAGGACTCCGCAGGCAGTATCTAGGCTGGGCTTTGCTTTCCCACTTGGTGAAATGGGATTGTGTCAGTGAGCAGAACACACTAGGCACCTAGTTGGTGTGCACTGGAGGTGGACTCTTGTTGATGTGGCCTCCCAGCATTATCGCTGCTCGGCCCTACTGCAGTCCAAGGGCCTCAGGTTCGAATCCCTGCTCTGCACTTTCGAATCCACCCCCTGCCACACACACCGTCCAGCAGCTTGAGTTGCCTCACCTCCCTGCTTGGCCTTCTCCTCCATAAAACACACTTAAGTTTGGCTTCTCATGGGAGGCTGGAGCTGCAGGGGCGCCTCCAGCTTCAGTTCTCTGCATGCAGATTGCCACTGAGCAGGGTCATAAATGTTAGCTTTGACTGTTGCTAGGGTTTGGCTGTGCAGACAGGCGAGTTCAACAGATGCCATGGAAGTGAGAGACTGGAGCGACCGTGAGGAGCGGTGGCCAGGCCTCGCTCTGAGCCCTCAGTGTGTTAGCTTATCCTCGGACAGTGACAAGCTGCTTAGTCTGAGGACGGTAGCACCGTGAAGCTTGGAAAGGGGGGTGGCAGTACACACTGCAGAGCTTGACGGGGGCAGCAGTGAGCATCTAGCTGGGCCTGGGGCGCCTGAACCTTCTGGGACCACGTGGCAACAACAAGGCCCAGTTCTGCAGTCAATGGTTTGGGAATGGTTTTGGTGCCCGTAGTTGGGGGGAGTCCTAGGAGCAGGATCCCAGAGGGGCCTCCTGCACTCCTGTGCTCCCACAGTGGGGGCCTCCTTGCCCTTGCAGGAGCCCATCCTGCTCTTTTGACCTTGGGGGACACCCTGCCCAGCCCGGCCGCCTGCAGCAGAGGGAATCCCTGTTGCTCAACTTCTTTTTCCAAAATGCATCCCCGTTCCCATCTCCATGGCCACCGTGGTTGGCCGGGGAGCCGCAGGGCGGGTGGAACACTTGATGTGTTCCAAGGATGGGGAATCCCAGCTGCTTCTCCCATCAAGGAGAGGTGGCAGCCTCCTGGGCTAATCTTAGGCCCACGTTGGGTCATCGGCACCACCCGCTCCAGCTTGCTTTTTATAGCTGTCGACTAAAATGCACTTGGCAGTTCCCCTCCAGCAAGATGACAAATTGGAGAACGGTGGAAAAACAGTAGGAGAGGGGCAGCGCGGGGTTCCTCCAGCCGGCCAGACTTCATGTTTTGGAAAGTGCTGTCTTATTTATAGCAGCAGTAATAATAACGGTTATTCTATTATTTTTATTTCTATTTTAAGTCTTTTCACGACTTTTAGAGCCTGTGTGCTCTGGCCTCTGCCGCGTGCTCGCATCCCAGCCGCTGCGTCTCTTGCTTGCTCCTGGCTGTGAGTGGCTCTGTCTTCTGTCCTCAGACACCCCGTGCTCATGGCTGCCTCAAGCCTTCCCTGTGGCTGCTGGCCGCTGCTTCTCCTACCTTCTCTTGCTTTCTAAACTTTCTATTAAAAACGTAGTATCCGTATCAAGAAACGCACAAAAGTTTACTTGTCCACAAGCTTGCCTTTTGTTTACAAGTCTGGTGCCTCCTTGACTTTTTAAGAAAGATTTAGTTTGTTTATTTGAATGGCAGAGTTAGAGGGAGAAGCAGACAAGTCTTCCATCTGCTGGTTTACTCCCCAACTGGCTGCAAGAGCCGAAGCTGGGAGCCCGGAGCCCCATCCAGGTCCTCTACGTGGAAAATAGGGAGCCATGCACTTGGGCGGTTTGCTGTTGCTTTCTCAGGCAAATTGGCAGGAGGCCGGAGCAGAAGTGGAGCAGCACGGCCCTAACTGGATTTCAAATGGGGTGCTGACGTCACAGGCAGTGGCTTAACTCGCCATACTGCAGTGTTGCTTAAGAGCAACAGAGCAGGAGAAATCTTCCATCTGCTGGTTTGCTCCCCCCAAATGGCCACAATAACCAGAGCAGGGCCAGACTGAAACCAGTGGCCAGAGGCTGCATTTGAGTCTCCCACATGGTGCCAGGCACTTGAGCCATCTCCTGCTGCTTTGTGAGATTGGAAACAAAGTCGGCAGGACTGTGACCTGCGATGTAGGTGTCCCAAGCAGCAGCTTGGTTTGCTGTGCCACAACATCAGCCCTTCTTGTCTCAGCTCAAAAGTCACTTCCTCCAGGGAGTCCTCCTAGATCAGCTACATTTCTGAAGTTCCGCCTCGCTTGCTACCCTGTGCCCTTCTGTCCCCTTGCCCTGCTCAGTTTGCTTGGTAGCACTTAGCATTGTTGTGGTGATCTTGTCTGGATCTTCTGGTCTCCGAGGCCAACTCTTCACTCTGTGAGAGCAGGGACTCGCTGGCTGCTGTTGTTTCAGCATCCGGACCTGCCTCTTGCACCCAGGGGGAGCTCATTTGTATGATAACCTCTCATTTTAAAAATTATTTTGGAAGAGTTTCAGAGAGAGGGGGAAGGACACAGCGAGATCTTTGATGCTCTGGTTCACTCCCTAGATGGCTGCGATGACCAGGCCTGTGCCGGGGTCAGGAGCTTCATTTGAGTCTGCCGTGTGTGTGGCAGGGGCCCAAGCACTCAGACCACCTTTGTTCTTCCCAGGCATCTTAACATGCAGCTAACATTAAAAGCAGAGTAGCTGGGACACGAACTGACGCCCCTGCACAGCGCTGACATCACAGGCAGCGGTTCTGCCTGCTCTGTCACCATGCTGGCCCCTGCATGCTTTCTCTTTAGTTGTGACCGTGGTCCAGAGAGACAGGTGGCGTTATTATACCCATCTCACAGTTGAGATAACCGAGACTCCAGGGTTAAATCAGGAGCCCCAAGTGACCCCACAATTGGGGACAGAGCAGGAAGCCCAGCATTGATTATTCATTGTCACCTGCAAAATGGCTTCTCCAGCCACATCACAGAGGGGGGCAAACAGAACAAATAGAATCTTTCTTGTTTTGTCCTCCTTGGGCATTGCTGAAGAGCCATTTCTGGGCTCCCTGAAATGTGAAAAATGTGTAACCTTGCAGGCAGGGTTCACACGGGAAGTCCAGGCTGTTCCAGGCTTCAGCTGGGAGCCCTGGCCCCTGTCCACCAGGCCTCAGGCGGAGTCGGGGGTCCCAGCAAAACATTGCAAAACAGGAAAAAATCTAAGGACACAAAAATAAAAGTGATGTGGCAGCGGAAACAGGGTTGCCATGGTACCGGGCGACTCGCCACGCCTGGGCGGGACCCAATGTTCTGGAAGGTTCCCCCACATGACACAGGGTTTTGGAATTTTTCGGCGGGTAAATCCTTCAGAGTGCAGGCCTCCCTGCACCCCCGGCCAAGTCGCTCCCTGGCTCTCGGAGTCCTGCGGGG